TATATGAGCGCGTATCCGGTTTGTATTACGATCTAGATGAAAATGAGGATTCGTATACCTGTTCTGGTTCAATCAACTGTGCGCCATCAGGTGGTGCGCCATCGGTTTCGGCATCGGCCATACCTCCCGAAACTTGCTGCATGCGAGATCCTTTGCTGGCCAATATTTTAGCCTGACGTGCTTCTCGCCTCAAACGGCGTTGTTCTGCAGCGTCCATAGTGGTAAACAATCAATCTCCGCACAATGACACTTAAGTTGAGGCTTTACAATGTGTAAACGCTGTTCAGACAACCTTTGCGCACGTCAACAAAATGTGTGTTTTCGACTTTCGACTTTCGACTTTCGACCGGCTGGCTGATCGGTTCGACTCTCTTTCTGATTTCACTCATTTTTTTTGGTCACAATGTGATTTCGGAACAAATGATTTTTTTTGGGCTTTTTCGAGTCTAATTTTCAGAAGGCTATGTTGTCGATGTATTTTGTTTTTAAAAAACAAGTTTTAGTTGATATATATATTTTTGTTTATATTTGTTTTGTTTTAAAAACAACAACAAAAAACATACCCTGGTCATAGCCTTCTAAATTAAACATCCTGGGTCCTGGGACCTGAGGCATATTTTGTTTCCGATATTTTAGGGCGTGGAATGGCATCTCATGAGCTAAATATGGAGTCATGGACATCGTCCGGTTAGTGATGACCCCAACATATTGCACGTTAGGTGTGAGCTGGCATAGGTCGCATAGTTTAATCATTATTCAACGTGTGCGCCTTATTCTGGGTATTAATTCTGTTCGTACTGCACTTATCGAACGAACAAATGTTCTCGTGGAACCGTCTCTGTCCAGCCTTTTTCTATAAGGTCATACAGAATATGGATTTCTGTATAAGTTGCAGCAGCTATCGCGTTGCTGTAGTACAATTCACACTTGTAGAAAAATCAACGACTACCCCCCTCTATCCATTGAAGAATGAAACTGGCAATAGCTTTCTTTGTGGTTTGCTTGGCAAGCAGCTCCAACGCACAGCCCTTCGTCAGCACCAATACTGTAACAGAAATTGTCACTAGCTTTCTTACTTCAGAGCACCATTCACTGAAGGATCTTCTGACCCCGCTGTCGCGGCCTCTTCGGTGCAGATAAGTGATATCGAATCGGCCGACAATACCGAGTCGATTGGCGAGCCTATATCGACTGCGGAGTCTGAGAGTGAATGGCTTGATACCAATCTTGAACAGTCTACGAATGTAGTGCCAGCAATCGATCCTACAACTTCTGGACCTGCTCCACCGAGTGCACAAAGTACATCTCTATCAAGACCTTCAACCACATCATTTATACCTCCGGTCACAACGGCGTCCTCCGCATCAATTGCTGTGAGTAGAGAGCCATCAGGAAACCTAAGTGGTTCCACCCCCGTAGCCAACGAGAACACTAGAAGTTTGGCATCAGTTTCATCCTCTTCTCTGGCCAGTGCTACATCAGTAGCTATATTGCTACTCCTGATGCTTAAATGAGCACATGCCCGAGTTGCATTTAAATGGCTCCTGTATCAGGTCATGGAGGGCTCACTCTTAATGATGTGATTACGATCGAAACTGAATTTGAATATATGTTACTTACAATTTACGAACGAATATCTTACGAACGAGTATCAGTTTGTGGTCTCAAATAAATGCAAATACCTATTTTAGGCTCATTTAAAGCACCAGCGCATACGAATTCTTCCATCGCAGTTTGGCTCCTGTTCATTTTTCACGATATTTTTAATAATAAAAACTCTCTACGTCTTCACTCTTCATGCAGTTAAATGTCACAATTCTGTTGTCGGTTGTCAGCCAGGCCCAGTTTATACCAGGTCCAGGCTGTATTTATCGAGAGAATTTAGCAGATGGAATGTCTTTATACGGCATTGGTGACAAAAAAAAATTTAACCACCTCAGGCCAAGTTTCCTACCAGTCTCCTACATACCTTTTCGAGTTTACTTTGCTTTTAAGATGTAATTAGCGTGATTTTAGCCCATTTATTGCACTTGTTGTATTAGTTCTTTGTCGGCCTCAGAGGAGAGGTCGACGTATGTTAGACACGAGTAGTGTCAACTGTAAACCCATGGGCGAATCCGAAGCAATAGCTAAGACAGAGGACGCCTATATACATGTGTCTAACTGCTAACATATGTCAAGTCCTTAAGACCGACAAGGACCTAACATAAGTGCAACAAATGGGTTGTATCCGCGCTACAATATCTAACATATAAGTCGAGCGCTTTCAGACGACAGATAACAAACAAACCGGCAGAAAACAAACACATCTCACAATTGCTTAAAATCACGCTAATTACATTAATACACCTATATTTAAGCAAATTAAACTCGAAAAAGCAAGTATGAGACTGGTAGGAAACTGGTAGGAGGTGGTTAATAATTTTGTTGTCACCAGTGCCGTATAAAGACATTCAGATAGCTTTGCAGCGCTAATATTTTTTATATAAAAAAGAACAGTATGTATATATTTAAAAAAAAATACACGGTCGGTCATAGTTTCAATACACCGCTCGACAACATACTGTATATATTTATATATATTTACATGAAAAAATACCCCAAAAAAATTTCATCAATCAGCACAGGAAGAAAAAATAAATAACACACTTTCAGATCATAAATAAAAAGCAGGGAATGCGGTCAGTCGGCACTCGGCATATGTGATTTTTGATTTCTCTATGACTCATGTAATTATAGAGTGGTTTACTCCATGACATGACATTTGTATGACAACTCTTGAACTCGTTTATACTCGGGGGTGAGTCGGGTCTAAGAGCGAGTCTCAGACTCCAGACTCCTGAGTCCAGACTATAGAGTACACCGTACACGGCACTATAAACAATAAATCAATAACTCATAAACGTCAAACGACAAACTGTCAACAACCTTTGTATCATGAATCATGACTCACAGTCTCACATGAAACATCTTATTTCACCGACATATGGCAGCCAACAGAAAAGCTCGAATATAATTTTTAATCGTATCAAACCTATAGCTGCGCTAGTCTGAATAACTATTGGTAGAGGTATGCTCTAGTACCTGTACCATGAGTTCGTAGCCGCCTAGAATCTAGATTTGTTAAATCGGACCCAGACTGTCCCAGAGTTCCAGACTCCAGAGTCGAGCCAGAGAGTCGAGCCAGAGAGTCGAGCCAGAGAGTCGAGTCAGAGAGTCGACGCAGACTCTATACTGTTGAAAATTAATCTTATTTATATGTACCTAGGCTCCAAATCAGTGTCCCGTTTATATTTGTGAGGCTTAAAAATTACCAACTTAATTTTTGTCCTGACAACTCATTTTAATATCGAATATCGAGCCCACATTTGAATAGGAGCACTAATTTGGTCTTAAAAAAGGAGACAATATACAGGTCAAATTGTCCCGAATTGTATAAAAACGTTTAAATATAAGTCAACTTTTATTTCAGGACCTTATTTTTAGAGACAGAAGATTTTTTATGTTTTTTTGTTTGTTCTTTTTGTAACAAAAAATAGATATAAACCCAAAACAAACATTTTTTTTAAATTTATTTATAAAATAACCCCCATAAATTCATATTTAGTGCACATTTAAGAGTTAAAAAAAAATATCTGACCGTACTACCGTACTGACCGTAGCCTCTTACTTATTTATTTACAAATAAATATGATCATTGATCTGACGGCGCGCCGGCGGTGAATAGGCGGTAAATTTTTATTATTAAATAGGAGCGGGTCAGTCATAGCCTTCTAAAGCAGGTCAGTGGGAGGTTTTTTTTCTAAAATACTTGCAACAAATAGCATAAAAATTTATACATTTACATAAAAATGCTGACTCTGAGCTGGTATGAGGTCGCGAAATGTCGTCTGAATATAGTACGACATGACGCTCGCGACATGTCGTCTAGTTGTCGGATGGCCCATATAAACGTTTTTTAGTGCGTCTAGTCGTCTACTCTGGCCCATTCTGAATGAATGTGAGGCTGTGGAGCGGTGGAGCCTATGACTCTGTGAGACTGCGAAAGTGCAAATCATTTTCTCATTCCAAAATATTTACATAATTTCTATTGGTGAAGTTCAGATAAATATAATCCACTTATTCGCAAAAATTGGACTGTCCAGGGGAAAAAAGGGTAAATATAAATATTTCGGATGTACGTGGCGCGATCTCCAATGTCGTCTGAAAATAGTACGACAAGAAGGTCGCGACTCGCGACGTGCCGTCTAAGTCATAATAAGACGTTTCGTACACGTTTACCAGCTCAGTAAATATTTATGTAAATATTTTTTTATAAAAATACATTTTTAGATATATCTTGAAAAAATATAATAAATAAGAGTGGAAACACGCTCACGATCAACAATCAATCAGCATGTGTTCGTTTAAGAAAAGGTTGTCCGTTCTTATATGCGGTACACTAATACAATGCATGACAGCCGTGCCTACTATGGAATGCCAAACTGCCATGATCGAATGTGATGTGACTGATACATGTGGGTATATTAAATGTGTCTCAAAGATTGAAGGTTGTGAGTCTTTGCTTGATGCTGCACAAGTTATTGTTTGTGATGTCAACAGTGAATCAGGATTGACTGATGAAGTCGAGGAGTATACAGATACGGTCGCTTTCAATCCTGCCAGTGATGGATGCAGGGCCGCCTTGAATATGTGTTCGTCACAGCTGAATAGCACTATGTTTGAGGACATATTCAATAATGACACAAAAAAGCCAATGGTATCGATGATGGGACCCGGCGATGGCTTACAATCTCTATTGGGTGCGATATTCGGTGGTGACCTTAATGAAACACTTGCCGAAATTGAGTCCCAATGTAATCTGCTCGTCAAGGTCTCAATCTGTGTCGTGAGTGACGAAGCAAATATTGCATGTGAGAACGACGAAGGCTTTCCCGAATTTCGTGCTGAACTACAGAATAGTACAGCGCTGATTAACAATTGCTCTGCGGAAATTGCGGTTTTACGAGAAGAAATTGCTGACGGATTGGGTGAAGGGTTTGAGATTCCTGCGCTGGATCTTGATCTATACGACTTGTTTGATTCCAATGGCACCGATGATACTATGCCGAATATTGAATTTGAAGGGCTGCTAGGAGATTTGCCAGAGACTGACACTTTCAATCCTACCAGCGACGGATGCAGAGCGGCCTTAAATGTGTGCACGTCAAACCTGAATGGCACTTTGTTTGAGGACACTTTCAATAATGACACAAACAAGCTAATGAAGTTGGGGACTCGCGATAGTTTGCAATCTCTATTGGGTGCGATATTCAGTGGTGACATTAATGAAACACTTGCCGAAATCGAGTCTCAGTGTAACCTATTCGTTGATTTTTCTATCTGCGCCGTGAGTGACGAGTTAAATGTTACATGCGAGGACGATAAAGGCTTTGCCGATTTCCGTACTGAACTGCAGAATAATACAGCGCTGATTAGCAATTGTACTGAGGAAGTAGCGGCTTTGCGAGAAGAATTTGCTAGTGGATTGGGTGACCGGTTTGGTCCTGGGCTGGAGCTTAATCTGGAAGACCTGTTTAATACTAATGCCACTGCTGATGGCATGCCAAACATCGATGTTGAAGGGCTGCTACATGACATAATTAGGTCAAATATCAGCACTGTGGACATACCTGGCGTTCAAGAAGGGTTCGATATCAATACTCTTTTAGACGCGGCATTGGGAAATAGCTCAGGTTCGCCAAATGGGAATTAAATGAGGGAGGTAGAAAAATCGATGTTTTTTAGATGACTACCAACCCTGACAGCTAGCGAATTATAGGCAAATGCGGTCTACTGAAGCTCATTCCTATAGCCACATTTGCTCATTTCTCTGCAAATGTGAAAGTCAATCCATATAGCCTGATGCATACTATTAAATTAAATAAGCATACCATTAAAAATAAGGAACGAAGGACAGCTCGCAGGCGAACTAGGTATGAGATGAGTGTACCGCATATGCGCTTCGTTTCCTTCGCAACACGCGTCGTAGAAAACTTCCATCGAAGCGAATGAATTCGCATTCGGAGTCATAAAAAAATCGCAGCCGTACATAAATTCATATCAAATAAATGTCAAACCGTCACTTTTCATCTCACCTCTGAGCTATGCGTGACTCAAAAGTGTCAATGATCTCATCATTTGCATAGTTCCGACCGAACACCCATATTACTTGAAACACCGTCTTTGCGAAAGGATATCATATAGGGATATCGTCTCGTCGGGGTTCCCCTGAGGAATGTACGCCAAGCGTACAATCTGAGGATATGTACAAAAAGGTATATAAAGTGCGTTAGAGTTCATTCCAGTAGTTATCTTTAATTCTATCAAAATGAAAGTTGTATTCTTATGCATGGTGTTGCCCTTTACGTTTGCGACTCCGCAAGTATGTATTTCTAGTTCTGTTACATGTGCAGATAAAATCTGCGAGGATTACCACATCAGTAATTTCCCTAATGGAGAATGCCGTCCACTGAAATACGGTAAGAATTTCTTTTGAGACTCTTTTTTTGAACTGTGTACACATGTGCTGTCTATTCAAAAATGCATCAACTGTGCGTGAATAATATATTAATTTACAACATTTCTTAACTTGGCAGGAAGCTACTACAAACTGTTCGAAGATCCCGAGACTCTATCGTTTGATATGCAAGTTTTTACTGAGCCGAGCTGTGCCGATCCACATTTCTCATTCAGCCCTCGGAGCACTTGCACCGGGCTTTTCGTAGAGATGAATCCGATTGTTTTCCTCAAAATCGTCCCTTCCAAACCTTCGACCATCATTGCAACAAGTATGGTTTCTACAGCTAGTATCGACCTGGCCACTTCGACACTCTCCAAGACGTCAACCTTTTCCAATACCGTCTTTACATCCTCCTCTGAGCATACAATCACGCCGACGGACTTCCAGACGTCCACCACAAACACGATCAATACAATGGATACAAGTACAGCAAGTACCGCTTCTACTGTCGACGCGACAATCACTTTGTCTAGAACACCTGCAACCACTGACACGAGCCTTCCTACACGCAGTCCTGATACGGAGTCCTTCTTTGGTACAGAACAGGCAGCCAGTACGATCAATACAATGGATACAAGCACAGCAAGTACCGCTTCTACTGTCGACGTGACAATAACTTCGTCTAGAACATCTGCAACCACTAGCACGAGCCTTCCTACACGCGGTCCTAATACGGAGTCCTCCTTTGGTACAGAACAGGCAGAAAGTACGATCAATACAATGGATACAAGCACAGCAAGTACCACTACGACTGTCGACGCGACAATCACTTCGTCTAGATCACCTGCAATCACTAGCACGAGCCTTCCTACACGCAGTCCTGAAACAGAGTCTTCAATTGATACAGAGCTGAAAGAAAGTACGATGAATACAATGGATACAAGTACACCTACCCGTTCTGCTATCGATGCCACAACCACTCTGTCTCGAACACCCACAACCACTATTACGAGCCTTCCTACATTTCGTCCTGGAACTGACATTTTCAGCCTGACCAGTGCGGCGACGTCTTTTTCCATCGTTGATGGGACATTCACAACTGGTGTTGAAGCGGAAATCGGTCATAATCTACCAGCAGAGAACTCAGCGGTGTCGTTTGAGGATTGGAGTAGTTTTAAAGTTGTCGCCATATGTGCATCGTTAAGCGTGTTTTTTAACATGTAGGTTGTGATAATCAACGTTTCTTCCTCACAGAATGAACTGTAATTTGAGTTCATGGCATGGCACGCCATCTAGTATTCATTTTGTATAATAACAAAGTTTTAACGAACGGCCCGATTCCTCGCGCGATGAACTGAGAAACACTGGAATATAAAATTTATAATTTATCTAATTTTATTTATACATGAGGCATGTGGATCCACTCTCTCCGACTTGATGTTGCAAAACTTATATAACAATCCTGTACGTGTTCATATTCGTATGCTCTTGCTAGGATCCTTTCTGTGCGACATATATTGCACTTCCATACCCACTAGATCCAAATCTGTCAGTATTTAGGGCCTACTGGCCATACCAAGTAACTAGTTTTCTACAGCAGTGTGAAGCATTCTTAAAGGAGCTGTATGTGATGCGTAGCCACGCTCATGATACATGAGGAATCAGCATTTTCTGCGTTGTAGTGAGCCAGATGGTCACCTACTGACCAATGATGCTCGAAGATATCGCGTGAGGGCTGACCGAGACAGAACACCTAGTTTAAGCGCCTCGTTGCGCATAGGACAGTTCAAAATGAAAGACAGGTGCCCGTATACCACTGCATCCAGTGCGTGAGGCCTGAGAGTGTACGGGTGGAAGAGGCGGGTGAGCTTTTGCAAACAAAGGAATACTTAGAACGACATACAAATGTGACTAGATCATTTTTTGTACATGTATACACAGTCGACCAGGCTGGGCTAAATCATGTGGGAATGTCTGAAACTTGTTTAATCGATCACTGAAGTAGAATACATCGCACGCGCCCACTATGCTATTTGACTACACTGGCCGTGAGTAATGGCAGGAATGAATGTATGTACATACAGACGAAAATGATAGACTACGAGAGAAAAAAACATCACAGGTAAAAATGAACATACTTGTCACCGAACAGATATCTTTGGTCCTCTAAATAGTCCGCTATCGTACCACAGGCATCCGTTGCGGCAGTTACTATCTGTTGCAAGCAATAGGTCAGGGGAGTATTGATACTTAAAAGTGATTCAGCACGATAGACGAGACGACAAGTGCCAGAGCCTTTGTCGAGTCTATGAGTCAGATTCTGAAAGATCCAGGAATAAATATGCAAAAAGAAGTGATACTTACAGGTGTCACTCCACAACGAGTAGAATATGCACATCGAAAACATACTTCCTCTGCTGACGCACCTCCAGTCACATCATGTATGTTGGTGATCATACGCGTCCTCATCTTGTGGGGAATATAAAGAGACAGTGGCCAAGTGTAGGCCTTCTCGTAGGCGGGCAAGGTTGCTTCGGAAAAGTTCTCCTGATCACACCACAACATGTGATACTAGTGTGTGCAGGTTATCAAGTGACAATTGAGCAGCTAAAGCATAATGAGTGTGTAGTACTGTTGTGGTGCTTGGCATTCCGTTATAATCGATTGTTGCGAACATCAAGAACAGTTCCCAAGTGCAAAAATATGATTCCCACACATACAACTTTATAATTGCAAAGAAGGTAATAATAAAAACTGTCAAAGAAAACTGAAAAAAAAAGATAAACACTGGGCAATAAGTCGCTTCGAGTTAAATAGAAGCAACTTATGTTCACTTACGATTGCTGGTATGACACTATCCTCAATAAGTGCTAGGATAGCCCTGCAGTCAATCTGTTGCTCCTCGGTGAGCACGGCGATATCTCTAGTCGCCTGAATAGGAGGCAGACAGATAAAGATGAAGAGCTCAACAATACGAAATACTCGAACATCACACGTCAAAATAATTATACGGGTATATGCATACGTACTCATGTAGATATATACTTGATCGATGGACATATAGAAAATACCATCGCACAAGCGGAACGGAAGAGATGCCCCGCACCTCGCACACACCGTGATTAATATAGGTAGGAATTTTTGCGAACTAATTTGTACTGCAGGTATTTAGTGATGCCCGCTGAATAACTCGGGACAAGTTCGATCAGTTGGTGATGTCCTAACACCTGGGTGAGAGGGTCAAGTGTCACGCAACATCACCAACCACAAGACAGAAAACCAAAGCTTAGGAGAAGCGATAAAGAATTAAAAAGCGCACAGTAACACTCACGCGTACACAAGCAAATATCGTGCGGACTGCGGAAGTATTGAACGATTTGCGGTAGAAGCTCCTCTATCAGCGAGTACATTAAAACTGCTGGTACCGGCTGGCGGGGATATTTCCTATCGAGCACTGATACATAAATGGTTACAAACAGCTAGCTGGGCGCAATACTTCATGGCGATCGAGCCGTGAGTACTGATCTCCACACTGCTGTCAAATACAATTCTGGAATTGTGAAGCTAAATTGAGACGAAATTAACAGATCTTGAGAAACATTCTCACACAAAAAGCCCACACATGTGAATTAGCTTCGTGTACATCAAACAACTCGCATTCTGAAAAGGGAGCGCAGAGGTTATTGCGACACATGGAAACAAACTACTTGCAGCTTAGTTTGACACATGAGAATACCAGACGGTATATGGAGAGCGCCATCCATGTAGGTACACATACGCTGCAGTAATATCATTAAATCAAATGAGCAATATACAGCGTGCACACGCGCCAAACAACATCGAGGTCATCGACGCTACAGACGTGACACAGTGTAGGTATAGCCATTTCCACAGGTCCCAGTAGCACCACCAGCACGCACGCAACGAACACTAAAATCCAACCTACATTGTCGACGGCAAATTGGAGTATGTCATCTCCAGCGTACAAAGTGTCATAGTCTTGTCTAATGAAGGGGAGTGCATTGGTAGGGCTCATAGACGGAGTATCACAGCTCAGCAATTTGCAAGGGATGCCACATACTTCCAACGCCAGACGCGCCACAACACAGTGAGAGTCCATAGAAGAAAGAGACCATTCTGATGTGGGAAACAATCGGAATAATGTGACGGAAAGTATGAGAATATATA